CGACGGGCTAGGTACAGGCCGGGCGACGGGCTAGGTACGGGCCGGGCGCAGGCAGGAGACGAGGCCGGGCGCGGGCTAGGTACGGGCCGGGCGACGGGCTAGGTACATGCCGGGCGCGGGCGTCGAAGTTGGCGGGGCCAGCTGGGCCGAGGCGACTGGCTAGGTACTGGCCGGGCGACGGGCTAGGTGCGGGCCTGGCGCGGGCGACGAAGTTGACGGGGCCAGTGGGGCCGAGGTGACGGGCTACGTACGGGCCGGGCAACGGGCTAGGTACGAGCCGGGCGACAAGCTAGGTACGGGCCGGGCGCAGGCGACGAAGACGGCGGGGCCAGCGTGGCCGAGGCGATGGGCTACGTACGGGCCTGGCGACGAGCTAGGTACGGGCCGGGCGCGGGCGACGAAGACGGCGGGGCCAGCAGGGCCGAGGCGACGGGCTACGTACGGGCCTGGCGACAAGCTAGGTACGGGCCGGGCGCGGGCGACGAAGACGGCGGGGCCAGCGGGGCCGAGGCGACGGGCTACGTACGGGCCGGGTGCGGGCGACAAAGTCGACGGGGCCAGCGGGGCCGAGGCGACGAGCTAGGTACGGGCCGGGCGACGGGCTAGGTACGGGCCGGGCGCGGGCGACAAAGTCGACAGGCTAGGTACGGGTAGTGCAGTAGGTGGTGGGCCCATTGAGACTAGGTCCTAAGACTAAGTTGCTCTGATACCATGTTAGAATCCTTAGGTGAGAATGATCGACTAGGAAACAAGAAAGGGTACAAGTAGAATGTCGAGAGAATTCTGTACCCCCTAAGGCTAAACCCACTATAGCCTAGACAAATGTAAACACATGAACTAAGCCTAGATATAACTAAGCATATATGTTTGACACACGCTACACCACCACGCCGTCCGCACGCCACCCCACGCCAGCTGTGCGCCAACTGGTGCTCGTCGTGCACCAGCCCGAGTTGCCGCACCGCCCGCGCTATAGCCTGCACCAGATCGCGCCAGCCTGCACGCCAGCCTGCATCATCTTGCCATGCCTGTTGCGCCTGCCGCGCCCGCACTTGCCGAGCCTGCACCTGCAACTGCCGCCGCAAGCCGCTGCTGTGCGATGCTAAATCTCTCGTGCGCCAACCGCTGCCGTCGCGCACCACCACCGCACCCCGTACCTGAAGGAATCGGCATGTCAGCTGACGACGTTTAGGGTTTTGAGCTTGACTATTCCTATATGTCTTGGACAACCTTCTCCTCATCCTAAGGCTGTCCCCTTTAACCTGGTATGGCGGCAAAGTTGGTCCTACCGCCAACTCTGTCAAATGTTGTAGCCTGTAGTGAGGCATGTCATATGGGGTACAGTTGTTAGGGTTAGGTATATGTACCCCAACTCACATTAATACTGACATCATTCCGTTTCTGACATGGTATCACCTACCCAGGTTAGGATCCTGTTGGATCCCGTTCCTCCCGCTTGACCCGCTCGCGCCCGTTGCGCCTAGCCTACCACGCCCGTAGCGCCCTCTCGTCACGCCCTGCCCGTCCCGTTGCATCGCGCCCGTCCCGTCCCGTCCCCTCGCGTCCGTCGTGCGCCCCTCTCCATCGCGTCGCGCCCTGCCCGTCCCGTCACGTCGCGCCCATCCCGTCCCGTCCCCTCGTGCCCGTCGAGCCTCCCTGCCCGTCGCGCCGCGCCCTGCCCGTCCCGTCGCGTTGCGCTTGTCCTGTCCCGTCCCCTCTTGCCTGTCGCGCCTCCCTGCTTGTCGCGTCGCGACGTCCCATTGCGTCGCGCCCGTTTCGTCCCGTCCCCCATGCCCGTCGCACCTCCCTGCCCGTCGCGTCGCGCCCTGCCCGTCCCGTCGCGTCGCGCCTGTCACGCCTCCCTGCCTGTCGCGTCGTGCCCTGCTCGTCCTGTCGTGTCGCGCCCTGCCCGTCCCCATCAACTAAGACGTGGCAGCAGTAGCTCCCTCCCCTCCGCATCAGCTATGGCGATGCCTAGGGTCCTGCGCTTTGATGCCGAGGGTAGGCCGCTGGGGTTCTCTGCCTGGCTCCTCCGTGCGCAGCGCCTGCTAGAGAGTCAGTGTCAGGCTGACAAGTCCCTCTGGGCACACGCCTTCGGTGACCTTCTTGCGCCCTCTGCTCCTGAACCCCTAGGCGCTGACCCCACCACTGCGGACATAGAGCGTTTTGCACGTCAGCGCGCTGCTCTGACAGCCTGGAAGTTGCGCGATGCTGCGGCGGGGGAATTTCCGCCCACGAATGTCGCGAATCGACGGCGACGAGGTTGAAGGAGGCTATGCCGAGGTTTGCGGGAAGAACATCCGCATACATAGGAGGATCACGATCCGCATGTGCGGATGTAGGGCTCTGATACCATGTGAGAACTTAGGCTTAGAAGCGATACATTAGTAATGAGCTTGAAGCTCTTTCAGTACATCCAAGTAGGGTAAGGAATAGTTGGGGAAGGGAATCAGAGGCAATCCCTGGGGATTGGGGGTAATCCCAAGGCAATCTCCAATTGGTGGGTTGGAGATTGCTTGGAGATTACATTTGGGTTTGGTTGGGATGTAGGTGTACACCCAACCAAACACAATGTGCACACTACACTACTCTAGGATATAGAAAATACCAAGTACAAAGTGTGAGATTGAAGGCTAACACGAACATCACATACTCATCCCTTCCTGTCATGTTGCCTCACATCCTCGTCCCTTCCAGGCATATTGCCTCACATACTCATCGCTTCCAGTCATATTGCCTCACATAATCATCCCTTCCAGTCACATTCCCTCACATACTCATCCCTTCCAGTCACATTCGCTCCCATACTCATCCCTTCCAGTCACATTCCCTCACACACGCACCCCTTCCAGTCATATTCCCTCACATGCTCATCCCTTCCAGTCATATTCCCTCACATGCTCATCCCTTCCAGTCGAATTCCCTCACATACTCATCCCTTCCAGTCATATCCCCTCACATACTCATCCCTTCCAGTCATATTGCCTAGCAGACTCATCCCTTCCAGTCACATTTTCTCACATACTCATCCCTTCCAGTCACATTCCCTCACATACTCATCCCTTCCAGTCATATCCCCTCACATACTCATCCCTTCCAGTCATATTGCCTCACATACTCATCCCTTCCAGTCATATTGCCTAGCAGACTCATCCCTTCCAGTCACATTTTCTCACATACTCATCCCTTGCAGTCACATTCCCTCACATACTCGTCCCTTCCAGTCATGTTGCCTCACATCCTCGTCCCTTCCAGTCAAATTACCTCACATAGTCATCCCTTCCAGTCACATTCCCTCACATACTCATCCCTTCCAGTCACATTCCCTCCCATGCTCATCCATTTTAGTCACATTCCCTCACTTGCTCATCCCTTCCAGTCATATCCCCTCACATACTCATCCCTTCCAGTCATGTTCCCTCACATACTCATCCCTTCCTGTCATGTTGCCTCACATCCTCGTCCCTTCCAGTCATATTGCCTCACATACTCATCCCTTCCAGTCACATTCGCTCCCATACTCATCCCTTCCAGTCATATTGCCTTACATGCTCATCCCTTCCTGTCATATTGCCTAACCGACTCATCCCTTCTATTCATATCCCCTCACATTCTCATCCCTTCCAGTCACATTCTCTCATACTCATCCCGTCCAGTCATATTCCCTCACATACTCATCCCTTCCAGTCATATTGCCTAGCAGACTCATCCCTTCCAGTCACATTTTCTCACATACTCATCCCTTCCAGTCACATTCCCTCACATACTCATCCCTTCCAGTCATGTTGCCTCACATCCTCGTCCCTTCCAGTCATATTCCCTCACATACTCATCCCTTACAGTCATATTCCCTCCCATACTCTTCCCTTCCAGTCACATTCCCTCACATACTCATCCCTTCCAGTCATATCCCCTCACATACTCATCCCTTCCAGTCATATTGCCTCACATACTCATCCCTTCCAGTCACATTTTCACACATACTCATCCCTTCCAGTCACATTCCCTCCCATACTCATCCCTTCCAGTCACATTCCCTCACACACGCACCCCTTCCAGTCATATTCCCTCACATACTCATCCCTTCCAGTCATATTGCCTCAGAGACTCATCCCTTCCAGTCATATTCCCTAGCAGACTCATCCCTTCCAGTCACATTCTCTCACATACTCATCCCTTCCAGTCACATTCCCTCACATGCTCATCCCTTCCAGTCATATTCCCTCACATCCTCGTCCCTTCCAGTCATATTGCCTCATAATGCCCCCTGCCCTACAAAGTACTAGCACCCATAGCAGCAGGATGGGAAGAGATGAGCATGTGTTGCACAATGACAGGACGAATTAACCATGTGGGTAAATCATATTAATTGGATGAGCATGTGGGCAGGATGATGGGAAGGGATAAGCCTGTGGGCAGTAGGGTGGGAAGGGATGAGCATGCGAGGCATTTGGATGGGAAGCGACGAGCATGCGAGGCATTTGGATGGGAAGCGACGAGCATGCAAGGCATTTGGATGGGAAGCGATAAGCATGCGTAGCAGTATGGCAGAGAATTGAAAGTGAATGAGATTGGAAGTGAAGCAATGAGCATTTGAGGCAATATGAGGCTGAATGATAGAACGGAGTTGGAAGGGAGTTGGATGGGGAGGGATGAGCTTGTTGTGAGGCAGCAGGGTTGAGCGTGGTTGAAAGGGGTGAGCATGGATTGCCACGGATGTCCATGTGAGGTAGTTGGATGGGAAGGGATGAGTGCAGTTGGATTTGAAGGGACGAGCATGCCGAAATAGCATGCTTTCTTGCTAAAAAGGGCAACTTGATCATAAACAGCAAGTACTAACATGTCCCTTGCGCCCTGGTTATTTCCACTGAATTTCTAAGGCTCTAGCACATCCTTCAGTTAACCTTGCTACAAGCAAACTCGTCTCCCTACATATATCTTATGGCCTACAAAGTTCTCGCGCCCACAGCAGCCAGTATGGAGAGCGGTATGGAGCGGTTTCAAGAGAGGATGAGCCAGGAGTTGACTTCAGCGAAGGCAGCAGCGGTGTAGGAGGCGCCGTTGGAGATGATCCCAGGGTCCACCCAGTCGGCGCGCGACGCCTTGGCGCCCGGGCCCTTGCTGCCGGCCTCCGCCAGGAACATGCAGCTGCCCTCGTTCCACGACAGCCACCCGTCCGGCTGGATAACGGCCGGCAGCATGACGTTCACGAAGACCGTGAACGCACACTTCTTCCACGGCCGCCCTAGGTACGCCTTCGCCGCGCCCTTGTCCGCGCTTACCACCGAGTCGCGAATCACGATCCCCGTCGGCGTGTCCTTGGCGCGGCCCGACGCGGTCAGGGTGATGAACGACTTGCTGGGATGCAGCTGGATCTTGGCGTTCTGAATGACGGCGGCCGCGTCGCCGAATATGAAGTCCTGCGTGCCGCCGATGTAGCAGTTGGAGTAGAACTGCCGCCCCGCGTCCACGTACAGCGTATCCTGCGACCCTTCGAACGCGCAGTCGATCGCCGCCGACTGGTCGCCTGTAGCGCGGAGAACCTACAGCCTGGTGGTTCTCGGGGCCGGCAGTGTTGACGAATTTGATCCCGAACGCAACAAAACGGTCGCTGTTCACGCCAACCGTGGCTGAATCGAACGTGCTCGATCCGCTGCCGTAGCTCTCGTCGTATGTGATCACGGTAGCGCCGGCGCCGGCCCCGATGAGGATAATATCGGGGGTGTCAATGACAACTTGCTCCCTGTAGGTGCCGGCAGGGATGTAGATCACGTACTGGCTGCCGCCAGGAGCGGCGTCAATCGCGGACTGAATCTTCCCCTTCACGACGGCATTGGCCTTCAGTCCCTTGCTCGCGTGAATGGGACCTGAAGCGGGTTTCACGCCGCTGCCCTTGCTCTTGCTCTTGTTGTTCTTGTTCTTGTTCTTGTTCTTGTTCTTACTGCTGCCGCCGCCGCTGCCGCCGCTGTTGCCCTTTTTCTTCTTGCTCTTCTTGTCCTTCTTGTCCTCGTCGTCGTCATCATCATCGTCGTCGTCGTCGTCGTGACGGCGTCGCAGCTCCCGCCGTGCGACGTACTCGTGAACGCCGTCGCCCAGGGCGTTCAGCTCCGCCTGAAGCTGTCGCAGCTGTGCGACAAAGTCGTCGTCCAGCCACTTGGCGCCTCCTGCGACATCAGCGGGCTCGGACGACGCGAGCTTGCGACCCAACTCGGGCGGGCCTGCTGCAGCCTTTTTGGCGATAGCGACCACGGCTTCGAGCGTGTCGCTCGCCTTGTTGGCGACGGTCTGCGACAGGATGTTAGAGGGCCCTACGACAGCAAGGGCCCTCGATGACCTTTGACTTGGCAGGTCGGCGCCTAACGACTGAGTCTACTCGGCACCGACGCACGAGTTCGGTGGCGGTCATTAGTGACTACGGGTGACTGTGAGCTACTGCAGCGAACTCGGCGGAATCGGTGCTAGGAATGACGAGTCTTGGGGGTCGTAGGTGCCTTGCTTGTGAGGCACGCTGCTCACTTGCTGTGTTGGCAGGAGTAGCGTGCACGGTGAGACATTCCGGTGCCGAGTTGGGTTGGAAATGTGCGGGGCGCGTTCACCCACCTGCACAGCACTTTCGTGTGGGTTGGGTTACTCGCAGCGCCACGCAACAATTGTGCAACTCTTGCTTGCCTATATATGTTTGTGTTTGCTTGTGTGTTTGATAATTGATATTGCAATTCTACTTGGCCCAAATGCTACTTCAATTCTCACAAAGTCCTTAGAGGCAAACGCTACCAAAACTCTACCAAGTTGCTGGCGCAACATCATTCCCATAGCAGAGACTCTCTCGCTATTGCTACGCTCTCTAATATATTCCTTCACAGGAGTAGGAGAAATTGACATTTGAGACAAAGCGTGTGCCTACTAGACTTCTGTTTCTAACAAGAGCGATGCTGTTTACTTTTATTCTGACGACATTGCCGCGTTTTTTCTTGTGAGAGTCGAAGAAGCGGCGAACAGCCCGCGTGGCAGCTGACAGAATTCAAAAGGGCAGGGGCGAGTGGGGGGTGGGTGGGGGGGCAGGTGAGAGGGCAGGAACGAGGGTGAAGGCATGAGGAACGGGGGGAGAGGGGCTAACCTCGAGATGCACGAATGCCGGCTGGAACGTGGCAGAGGGTGCAAGCGTCTTGAACCCGTCCACGCAATTCTCGACTTGCGTGCTGGCGGCGGACAGCCAGAACGCGCGATCGTGCTGCGCGCTGTCCGTGTCGATCGCGTCCAACGTGCGGCCCAGGTAGCGCAGCGCGATGCCGCCCTGCGTGCTGCAGTCGTCCGCCACAACATTGATGAAGTGATTCTGCCTCACGTTGGCGCGCTTGATCTCCGCGGCGGCATCGATGATCGCGGAGACTTGTGCCGCCACCGCGGAGACCATGGCGGCCGTGACTTGGTCCGCGGTTTTCGGGATAACGCTGAGTTGCCTGCGTGCTGCGCGGAACTCTTGCGAGCAGAGGGTCGCGTTCGACACGCCGCTGCAGAGGGTAGGGTGGGAGATGACGAGGTAGTTGTCGGCCATGTAGCAGCAGGACACGACGGCGAGTGCCACGCCGATTCCCGCAACGGCCAATTTGGCCGCACGTTGAACCCCCATGTTGGATACTATGAAGTGAGGTGGGATTTCCTCCTCTGTCGACTAGAGAAGGGATCGAGGAGCTTGAAATCTGAACGGGAGTGATGTCTAAACTCGACTAGGAGATGTTAATACAACAGTTGCTTTGAGCTTTAATGGAATCTCTGCTATTTTATGTTGCTCGGCTTTGCTGTGGTGGTTGTTTCGCGATTCGAAATTGTAGCAAGATAAAAATTCGTCAGACTCAGCAAGGGTGGGCGTTTTGGGGAATTGGGGACGGTTGGTTTGTCGCGGGTGGGACTGGTGGGGGTCGTGATTACAGAGAAATCCGAGCCGCAGGGGGCTGTGATGCTGACTTTGATTGGTCAATCCCTCCCAATCTCACCCGAGGTGCGCAAAAGCTCCTGAAAGCTCCTAATGCCCCCTTAACGAAAGTCTGCGATAGTCGCTAGAGTCAGTCGCTAGGCATTGTCTGCGATCCTCGTGACACTCTTTTACATCCCATTCGTTTGTGTGTTGCTCCTCCCAAAAGATTACTGGTCTGGGTTGCTCGGCCCTCATCGTGTCGCTCCAACTAGCGCTGTAGTACAAACGAGCGGAAACAACGGTTGGATGCACTTCTGATTGTAAAGAATGAGCGTTTAGGTATGGTATGACCCTTTGAATGGTATGACTCGATACACACATCTTTTTTAACCCGTAGTTTTACACATTCACTCACCCTTGTCATAAAAAAATCATTTTACAAGTGTTCCCTTATCGAATTGTTATCTCCTTTATTCCATGGCACCCTCTCCTGCCACACGCATGTGAGAGCATATCCTTGTTTGCACATTACATCCGTATTCCAGATTCTAATCATGGAAGCACATGAAATCGCGTCATTTAGTAAACTGACATGCCAACATGGGATTTATTTTCTTAGCAGGGCTTTTGAGGCGCCTCTGAAGGAAACCAGCATTAGTTGGATGTACAAATCAGATCAGATCAGATCAGATCAGATCAAACAGAAGCGTGAACAGTAGGTTCGTCCCTAGCAGGGCTTTCTTCCGCTTCCTCCTCTCCATCATCACCACCCTCCTCCCCCTCGCCCTCTCTCACTGCTTTCCAGCACGGCTTATTCGCCCCCCCTATGCGCGCCTCTGCTGCCACAGGAACACCTGGGAAGGGGAGGAGATGAATAGGTAACAGGGAATAGGAGAGAGGGAGAGCGCAGCACGAATGGCTTATGATTGTCTTTGACACACAGATTGGCCTCTAAGCCCCGCCTCTGCCCCCACTGCCTTTCAGCACGGCTTATTCGCCCTCTCTATGCACGCCTTGCTTTTGAGACGCCTCAAAATTCCCCCTCTATGCACGCCTTGCTGCCACTGGAACACCTGGGAAGGGAGGGGAAGTGACACAAGGGGGCTGCACAAATGGAATGTGATAACATGGTTTCTGAATCGAACTTGAAGCTTTTCCTCTGCACTCTCCCCCACTGCCTTCCAAGGGGGGGGCGGAAGGGTTTAGGTGACGGGGGCAGCGGGAGAGGGATGGAAGTGACACAGGGAGGATTTCAAACACACTCTCTGGCCGTACCGCACACAAATGTGACTATGTTGGCACAGGTCTCGTCAGAAACAAAGTCTCTAATTCTATGTATGGTCCCCAATTGTGAAACACGGCCTCTGTTTGTTTTCCTGACTCATAGACGAAGGGCTGCAGTACATGGGTCATAGTACTGCCCTTCGAAGGGCATGTACTGCCCTTCGACTATGGGTCATAGTACTGCCCTTCGACTATGGGTCATAGTACTGCCCTTCGACTATGGGTCATAGTACTGCCCTTCGACTATGGGTCATAGTACTGCCCTTCGACTATGGGTCAGGAAGATTCTTGCATGGTCCCTGTTTGTGAAATAATGCCTCTGTTTGTTTCAGACATGGATAAATTCCTGCCGTCCTCCCTCTCTCCCTCCACCACCCTACCGCATCACTCTCCCTTTCACCTCACTCACCCTCCTGGTGAAATACTCCCCACACTGTTACTGCTCCCCCGTTCATTAAAAGCACATCCCTTTCATTGCACTCACCCTCCTGGTGGAGTATCCCCCAAACTGTTGCTTCCCCCCCTCATTAAAAGCACATCCCTTTCGTTACACTCACCCTCCTGGTGGAATATCCCCCAAACTGTTGCTTCCCCCCCTCATTAAAAGCACATCCCTTTCGTTACACTCACCCTCCTGGTGGAATATCCCCCACACTGTTGCTGTTCGCCCCGTCTGCACAGGCACACCCAGCACATGCGATGGGAGGGGGGCAGGGGAAGGGAAGAGGGACCTCAGAAACCTTCCTGGTGGATTATTATGTTTAACTTGATTATGCTTTTAAGATTGATTATGATTTTTTTTTAGCTTGATTCTGAGATTTCTCGAAATCATCCCCCACACTGTTGCCGTGCGCCCCCTCTGCACAGCCACACCAGAAAAATTGTGATTATAACGGGTGGACCGGGGTGCAGGGGAGGGGGGTAAAGGGGGATGAGTGACAGTAACAAGTGTGATTGTAACGAAAGTACGAGGGGAACAGAGGGGGTAGATGCAAGAAGAGAAAGGCAAGGCTCAGAAGGAGGGCATGGGTGTTGGGTGATGAGTGGGGTCGGGGGTGGTGGGGAGGGGAGGGGAGGACATTTGCAGAGGGAAATAGAAACTCTACTCTGTTTGTTTGCTTGTTATTTTAGATACTCTGCTACATTTTGTTTTCTTCTCATTTTTTTTCCTAAAACACAAGGGGGATCCGGAACAAACCTTGGCTATTTGAACTCGCGAAACTTCGTAAAAGGTGCCTTCCTGCCAATGCCGCTTCGCCACTCTAGCGCCTTGCCCCCACGCCGGTCGCCGCCAAAGAATATCCGCCAGATTCTGCTTGCGGCGCCTCTTGACTTGCACTTGCTCCAGAACCTTCGCGTCGGTTTCCTGAGAGCCCTCTGAATCGACTTCATCCTGACTTTGCGAGGCAGAAGATTCTTTTTCTAACGACGGGCTGCCCGGAAAAAGCGGGAGCGGTTTGAGCCCCAAACTAAGCAATAGCGAATCGGCGCCGGATACTTCGATAGGTTTCATCGCGGCGGCAGATCCGGCGGCTAATTCCGCGGGAGAAGCGGCGGGAGAAGCGGAGAAGGTCGAATGGACGGAGGTGGATGCGTATCGGCAGGAAAGGAAACGCGGAGCGGCAGGAAGAATGCGCGAAGGCGGGTGCACTGATGCGGGAACTCCGGCGGAGGCTACGGGCGGTTCGGCTAGAGAGGGGGAGATCGGTGCGGGGCAGAGGCCAGGCGGCGGAAGCCCGTTGCGGGGAAGGCGGAGCGAGCTTTGCGCGGAGAAGCCTGTGCGCGGAAGCCCACGGCGCAAGACCGCAGATGCCAGGCGGCGCAAGTCATCGGCACGAGGCATTTCGGGTCCCTGCGGTGCTCCGCTGAAAGCGGCGGAAACTGCGGAAGGAGGTGTGACAGAACGGGACGGGACGAGGATACAGAGGAGGCACAAGGAGGAAAACGCGGGAATCAGGAGTTCAATGTACTCGATATATTCAACCTCGCATAAAAATCGGTGTACTGAGATTTGACAAAAAAAATTAAAACAGAAACCAGCATACGATTCTACTAATGACTTTCCTTTTCAAGGAAGTATGATTTGAATCTAATGTGGATTCAGAGATACACTACAAGCGAGAATGCTCTACATAACTATATAGGTCCATTACAACATTACAATGGCAAGTTTTGAACACACTTATATCTTCCTGCTGCTGCTCTTGCTCAGTCTACTTCCTCACACTCCTGCCTAGTGTGACAATCCCGCCATATCGCCTGCAGGAGCGTAGCGATACGCTCGAACACACCCAGCATTTTAAGGGTTCTCTCTTTCTCTCTCCCTCACACGTTTCATCTCTCCCTCCCATCACACGCCAGCCAGCTAAGACCATCCCGCCATGTCGCCCCCAGGCACGAACACGGCCCGCCAGTACCTAATAGTTGCCCCAGAGTCACGCCTATACCTGCTGCTGCTGCTGCTGTCGCACTCTCTCCCCATCACACGCCAGCCAGCTGAGACCATCCCGCCATGTCGCCCGCAGGAGCATAGCGATACGCCCGAACACGGCCAGCCAGCGATAATTGCCCCAGAGGCACCTCTACATCCGCCCCTGGTGCTGTTGCTGCTGTGGTGGCAGCGGCATTGGGAGAAAACCCGGAAGAGGAATACGCACCACCAGCACCAGCAGCAGCAAGACCACCAGTAGCAGTAGCAGCGACTGCATTTGAAGCAGCAGAACCGCCAAAAGCAGATGAAAACATGGCAGCTGCGGCAGAGGTAGCAGAGGAGGGGTTAGAAATAGGAGCAGGGGAGGGGGAGGAGGAGGAAGAGGAGGAAGAGGAAGGGGTGGTGGTGGTGGTGGTGGTAAGATCTTCTTTGGAGGAATAGAGATCGCCTATGAGCTCAATGGAAAGGATTCGGATGCCTGCGATTGGTCGAGAGAAGTCGAAGTAGAGCGGCGTGTTGGGCCGGGCAGCGGGCAGAATAAATTCTGTGATGACTGTGGCAGGCCCAAAGGAATCCTGTGCGGGGGAAGGAGGCAGGGGAGAGGAGAGAAAAGGGGTGGGGGGAGGGTGGGGAATAGAGGTTTGAGTTGTCTCACAAATAAACTCCATAGTAGAGCCCACCTGCTCTCTCCACTTTGAGAGGTCAAAGTAGATGACTTTTGAGTTGACTCAAAGTAGGGCCCACCTGCTCTCTCCACTGGAGTAGGGCCAACGGAGTCTTGTGAGGAGAGTTGGAGTGGAGAGAGCAGGTGGGGAGAGGGGATTAGGAAAGGAGCGAATGGGTGGGGGAAGGGGAGTGGGGGGGAGAGAGATACAGGAGAGAAGAGGCTTGTAAGGTGATTTCAGGGTTGAAATGGGAAGTATTGCAGAGGAAGCGAGCATTCACACTACTCAAATAGAAAGTGGGGGAGGGTTGGAAGTAAAGAAGAGGAAGAGTACTGTGTTAATGAATACCCACCTGCCGGGCGGATACCCTGAGTCGGAACGGGACAACGAACGCCGCCCACTCATCTATGAACCCGCCCCGCGCTGCCCGAGCCAGCGGGCCGCCGTCAGCTGCCCCGGGCAGCGAAAGAAACATTCCGGCGGAACGGTCCAATGGGAGCGCGTCAAGTCGGATGCCCGAGATTGGAGGAGAGGAGAGGGGCAGGAGAAGTTCCAGGATCCTTCCTCCTGCCCACACTCTTTCCCCTTCCACTGGGGTCTGAGAGAAAGGGTTATGACAAAGAGGGTGATAACAGGGAGGGGAGGAGGGGGAGGAGAGCGGAGTCTGTTGTAATTTCCCCCAAAACGCCTACAGAAAGTTAGCGAGTCCTTCCTCCTGCCCACACTCTCTCTCCCTCCACGGGGGTCTGAGAGAAAGGGTGTTAACAGGCGTGGGGGGGGGGGGGGAGGGGAAAGGAGTCTGTTGTGTATTCCCAAAACACGCCTTTTGAGGCACCTCAAAAGTTGCCTGCATCAAGAAATTTCTGGATCCTTCCTCCTGCCCACTCTCTCCCCCATTCCACTGGGGTCTCAGGGAGAGAGATCGTGAGGGTGATGACAGGGAGTGTCAGGAGGAGCGATGACAGGGATAGCAGAGGGTAAATTCTGAGAAAAAATACATTACACCGACAAGAAGAAGTTTCAAGATCCATCCACACTCTCTCCCCCTTCCACTGGGGCCTCTGAAAGGAAGAGAAATGAAACAAGAAATAACGACAGGGGAAATGTGTGTAAGAAGAAGAAAAGAAACTGCATGTGCTTACAGGATAAAGTCCAGGTTACTGCTGTAGCCTGTAGCGCACTCACACTGCTGTAGCCTGTAGCGCACTCACACTGCTGTAGCCTGTAGCGCACTCACACTGCTGTAGCATACTGCCGTTAGCAACGGTATAGCTCGGCACAAGTACCCGTGATCGGCTCATGGGAGCTGGGGCCTCCAGAAACTGCTGATACTCCCACCTACTCGTGCCAGCAGCAGCAGCAGCACTCAGTTGCTGAGAAGGTGTAGAGAAAGTGAGTGAAAAGGGATGCCGTAGTGCAGCAAAGCAGTCAAGGCTGTATAGCCCACATACCCGTGATCGGCTCATTGGAGCTGGGGCCTCCAGAAACTGCTGATACTCCCACCTACTCGTGCCACCAGCAGCAGCACCGACAGCACCGCCAGCACCAGCAGCACCAGCAGCACCTGCAGGCCCCATAGTCCCAACAGCAGCAGCAGGGGCACCACCAACGACTGCTCCCATGGGCACAGCAGCAGCCCCACCGGAGGTCGCGGGATCAATTCCTGCCGGGTCACCGAATATTTTCTGCCCGTAAACACGGATTCTGCGAGCCCAGATGCAGGATGATGTAGTGCCAGGCTGGCGGACTTCGGGCAGGAGAAATTTCAGCCAGACCATCCGGCAGGGGGCGGCGGCGGTGGGCAGGGTGTAGGATAAGATCAGCTCGGAGTGTGGATTTGATTTGGTGTCGGCAGCTGCTGCTGTGGAGGGGAGGTCCCAGAGGCCTATTGTGGTGCGCTCTGATTGGTCGATGGTGGTGCTGAGGGAAATACGGACCTGTAACAAGGGGGAGAGGGAGGGGAGATGAGCAGTGAAGGACGATGCAAGTGACATGGGCGGGCATGTAAAAAAAAAAAGCTACCTCCACAGCACAGCACTGTTGAGTGAACTTTTATACCGGCACGAGGGCAACTACCACAGCAGTGAGATTGGTCGAGTTGACTGGAGATCATTTGAGGATTCTAAGAAGTCTCAGGAAGACCCACCTTGGGGGTGTGATGGGGCGTGTACTGAGGCAGGCCCGAGTGCAGCACAACGCGGGAGACAAGCGCGGGCGTGGAGAGCACGATTGTGATTTCCACAGCAGTGAGATCGGAGGGGGCTCGCCACACGGAGGTGAGAGGGGAGGAAGAGGTGGGAGTTGAGGGTGGGAGGAGAAGCGAGTTGGCGGGGGCTGCTGACGCATCTGAGGGGACCTGCACGTGTGTGCGAGGGAAGGAGAGGGGGGGGGGGGGGGGAAGACAGTAGAGGTGAGACACAAGGGCGGGCGTGGAGACCACTACGGCGATTTCCACAGTGGTGAGATCGGAGGGGACTCGCCACACGTGAGAGAGCGTGGAGAGAGAGGCGGGTGGGAGGAGGAGCGAGTTGGCCGGGGCTGCTGACGCATCTGTGGGGACCTGCACGTGTGTGGGCAGGGCAGCAGTGTCAAGGTGAGGGACAGGGGAGAGAGGGGCGGGAGAGGAGGCGGGGAGGAGGAGCGAGTTGGCTGCGGATGTATCTGTGGGGACCTGCACGTGTGTGCGAGGGAAGGAGGTGGGGGTGAAGGGGACAGCAGGCGAAGAGAGCACGAGGGCGATTTCCATAGCAGTGAGATAAGAGGGGGCTTGCCAGATGTGAGAGAGAGGGGCGGGAGCGGAGGCGGGGAGGAGGAGCAAGTTGGCGGGGGCTGCAGATGCATCTAGCATGAAGGCGAGGGAAGGAAGAGCGGGGACAGCAGAGGTGAGGGAGAGGGGCGGGAGGGGAGGCGGGGAGGAGGAGCGAGTTGGCGGGGGCTGATGAGGCGCATGTGTTGACCTGCGTGTAGGTGAGGGATGGAGGGGGGAACATTTGAGTTAACTCACAACTCTTGAAGGAAGGGGGGGATGCTAAAGGTGAGACAGGAAGGAGGGCAAACACTCGCCTCCACACCAGCACGTACCGAGAACAGCAGGCCAGCATGAGGTAGCTCTGCTAGAGACACCTCCTCCCCTCCATACCCTCCTCCTCTCGACATCACTGGTACCACAGGCGCCTCTTGCCACTCCCCTCCATCCCTCCCTTCTCTCCCTGCCCCCCCTCGGCTCCCTTCCCTCGCTTCTCCCCTCTCCCGTCCAAAACCCTCCTTCCCGCTGCTTCTCCTTCCAGACAAACCGGCACAGCCCCAGTCCCGAGCCTCAGCCACGGCTCTCCTGAGCCTGTCGCGCCACCGCCGAGCCTGCAGCTGGCGCACCCGATGCAGGAGTACAGCATTGGAAACAGCAGGAGGGCAGCACTCCCTGCATATGGGAGCATCTAGCGGCCCAGGCCTCCCAGGCCCTTCTGTTGCTCCTCCTCCTCCTAACCCTTCTCCTCCTGCTCCTCCTCCTGCTCCTCCTCCTGACCCTCCCCCTCCTCCGAATCCTCCTGCTGATGAAGAAGACGAGGAGGTTCCTGGAAGCTTCCAGCCTCCAGCCGAGGCTAAACCAGAAAGAGAGGAAGCGGAACCACTTTTAATCACCCTACCCAAGCCACCACCAATACCACTGCTGCCGCCGCCACTGCCGCCGCCGCCGCTGCTGCTGCTACCACCGACGCTGATGATACTGTTGGTGCTGATGCTCCGAGTGCCACCCGAACCAGTGATGCTCCCATTGCTGCTAGCCCCGGCGAGAAACCCGCTTCCCGGACCTGCCAGGCAGGCTCGGCAGACCCGCCGGCGGCACCAGCTGCAGGCTGGGAGGCCCCGCCGAACCTCCATGTCCACATCGTCCGAACCGCCTCCCAAGGTCTGGCCACTGGTTCGTCCCGTGCCACTGCTTCCCGAAACTCCTGCTCCGAACCTAACATCACAGTTCGGGCCGATACAGTCCAAACCAGGACTAACACACCCCCAACCTGTGTACTGGCCATGCGGGGCCCATATATGTGCACACAACGTGGCCTTGCCCAGATTACTCGGATTGCCCTTTCCTGCCTCCTCTTGTACCTGTCCCTCATCGCTTTCACCTCTCTCATCTCCCTCACCCTCTCCTTCATCTCTCTCATCTCCCAAACCGGCCAACAGCCCGTTTCTTCTCCACCAGTCACACTCCTGCTCCACCTCCCCTCTGCCATCAGAACCGTTTCTTATTCCTTCCTCCCCCACCCTCTCATTGCCCCTCCCCTCCCCGCCCTCTCCCCACTCGCCTCCATCCCCTTCTTCTCCCCTCGACCTGAACCCCATCGCGCCTATCTCAGCATCCTCTCTCGCAGTGAGGCACGCGGATGCCAGGCTGGCAGCCAGCTGGCGGCACAGCAGCGCGTCGGGCGTGCTGACGTGGCGGTTGGGGTCGAGGAGGGGTGCGGAGGTTGTTGGGGGGAAGGGGGAGCAGGAGAAGGAGGAGGAGGAGAGAGGGGGGGAGAGGAGGGCGGAGAGGATGGAGTCTCGTTGGGAGGCAGAGAGGGAGAGGCGCAGGCGAGCTATTTCAAGCTCCATGGCTGTTGGGAAGTCGATGGATAGGAGTTGCTGGTTGGGTGGGACGGATTGGGGGAGCGGGGAGGGGGACAGTGGGGGAAAAGGGGGAAAGGTGTGTTGTTTAAGGTGCAGGCAAGCTATTTCAAGCTCCATGGCTGTTGGGAAGTCGATGGACAGGAGTTGCTGGTTGGATGGGACGGAATGGGGGAGCGGGGAGGGGGACAGGGGGGGAAAGGGGGAAAGGTGTGTTGTTTGAGGCGCAGGCAAGCAATTTCAAGCTCCATGGCTGTTGGGAAGTCGATGGACAGGAGTTGCTGGTTGGATGGGATGGAATGGGGGAGCGGGGAGGGGGACAGGGGGGGAAAGGGGGAAAGGTGTGTTGTTTGAGGCGCAGGCGAGCAATTTCAAGCTCCATGGCTGTTGGGAAGTCGATGGACAGGAGTTGCTAGTTGTGTGGGTGGGACGGATTGGGGTAGGAGGCGGGAGAGGGGGGAGAGAGAAAAGGAGGAACAAGAGTGGCTTCACTGGGAGCTTGGAAGGAATGGATAAAAATAGCCAAGGTTGGTACACACAAGAACGAACGAAAGAAGGTTCAGGAACTAAGAAAACGGGAAGAGAGAGAGAAAACGGTAACAGATAGCAAAGAACGAAGCTTAAACGGGCTCCAATGCTCCCTAGCAAGTACCTTCTTGGGCACCATAACTTTTTGTAGCAGCTGCCCGAAAGCAGCAGCACCCCATTGCTCACACACGTCCTCACTGACCCCTTGGGCTATTCTCACTATCCTCTCCACCTCCTCCTCCTCCCTCTCCTCCTCCCGCTCCTTCTCCCCCGCCCTGTTCCCTCCTCCCCTCCCGACTTCCCCTTCCCCTTCCCCTTCCCCTAACCCCACTGTTGCGGCTGCTCCAGTTACATGCGAACCCACACCTCCCCTTCCCTCGGAAACACCATTCCCTTGCAGCGAATCAAACACACTGCTCGTTTGAGAATTCTCAAAAGTGACCCCTGCTCCCTGGGAAACAGGAGCAGACATACTGCTCCCCTGCTGCTCTCCTTGATTGACCTCTGGGCTGTGGGGCGAGGACGACGGTGAGTCAGCTTCTGATGCCATGAGAGGGTGCCACGTGGCAGCAGCTGGTTGACTGACTGCCGGAGGATTGAAAGAGGCCCACTCAAGATCAGCAGCAGTAGATGGAGCGGCTACTGCTGCTCCTGGTGATGGTGCTGCTGCTGCTGCTGCTGCTGCTGCTGCTGGTGCTGTCAGCGCTGCTGGTGCTGCTGTTACTGCTATATTTGGGGCTGGTGCATCAAAGGACATCCACCCACCAGGCTGACTGCTGTTGCTGCTCGCAGCGGTGCCGCTGGCTTTAGTGCCACTAAAAGTTGTGCTCGTTCAAACGATTCCCACCCACCCGGTTGCTTGCTGCTGTCTGCAGCACTGGGCACAGCGAAAGGATTATTAGAAGCAGTATTGGCAGCACCGCTGCTGGTGCTACTAGTGGTTTGGAAGCCCCCACTATCAGAAGCTCCAAAAGACTCCCATCCCCCTGGTTGGCTCACACTCATCCCTGCTCCCGTCCCTGTTGCTCCTGGTCTCAGTCCCACTCCACTTGCTCCCATGCTTAGCCCTCCCACCAAGCCTACCAGATCAGCCTCGGCAGCAGATCCCAGGGCTGCCGAGCCAGGTACGGACGCAGGTTCGGTGAAAGGGTTGGTGGACGAAGCGAAAGGGTCGGTGAATCCAGAAGTGAACGGATCAACCTGTCCAGTTGTACCTCCACCAGAAGCAGACAAAGACGCTGGTCCAAAGGGGTCAAAACCTGCAGCAGTCCCAGCAGCAGCAGAAGTGGCAGCAGCTGTAGCAGTTGTAGCAGCAGGAGAGATTGATATCCAGCCACTAGAAGTCAAATCCGCTGTCGTATCTGCTGCAGTAGATGCAGCGGTGGTGCTCGTGCCTGTATTGAATGTGCTTGTAACGGGTACAGAGAAGAAATCATCCATGAGGTTCACCAAGCCCGAACCTGTGGCCTCCATAGCCTGCATCATGCGGTTCGGCGAGCTCATCAGGTCCGGAACCAGGTTCGGCACTACCGAACCTGGTGCAGCCGAGCCTGGAGCATCAAGTGAATGGAAGTCGAGAAAATCCCGAGGTTCGGGAGGAGGAGGAGAAGGGTGTGTGGTGGGGTGTGAGGAAGCGAGAGCGGCAGTGCGAGGGGGCTGCATTGGAATAGCATCATCCATAAGATTGGCCAATGGCGAGCCGCCACCTGGCATCCATGTCGCTGTCGGTGCAGCAGCAGCTGTAGCGGCTGTAGCAGCAGCACCACCACCATCTGCAGTGGCTGTAGCACTAGGAGCAGCAGGCGCAGTAGGGTCGGTGGTAGGAGCAGCAGGAGGAGGAGAGGGGAGAAGGGAGAGGATGGATGGACAGGCACGGTGGGTGGCAGAAGAGGAGGAGATGGAGGGAAGGCGCTGAAAGTCATGGTGTGTGGGTGTTATGCCTAGGACCTCAATCTGTTATAGCGGGGAGGGGGGTGATACGCGAAAAGGACAACTGTGGGTTTGCTGATTGTGAAAGGGGTGGGGGTAGGTACAAGGGGAAAGCAGAAGGCGGATAGAAGGTGAGAGAGAGAAAGCAAGGCTTAGACGAATGTTACAGTGTTTCCACAAACACAACAGACGCGGTGACCAGCCTACCTGTCCAAGAGTCATGGGGGAACCCGAACTGCCGGTACCGCCACCGCCGCTGGCACCACCAAAGGCAGAAGAAGCAGCAGCAGGCGGATAGAAGGTGAGTGAGACAAAGCGGGTCAAGAAGTCGATTCTCCCATCGCCCTCCTCTGTGTAGTCGTACAGCAAAGACGAGGACACTGCCCCTCCCCTCTCATACACACCCTGCTGTGATATCCACTGGCCTGCTGTTGCTGCTGATACCCACTGGCCTGCTGCCCCATGTATCCCTCCACCAACACAGGGGCTGCTACAGACCCGGCTTTGCCATAGCCCAAAGGACCCCCAGTCACCACCCCTGATTCATCGTTCTTGCGCGCAGAAGCGGCAGCAGGACCAGAAGAAGCAGGAGCGGGAGCAGAGGCACGGGTGGGCTTTGGAGCGGGGAGGGCGTATTGCAGGACTGTGCCGCTGGCGCAGCGGGGGATGGTGAGGCCCTGCAAGGGGCGTGAGCGGGGAGTGGGAATGAGAGTAGGAGAGAGAGAAGGAAAAAACGTGAACGAGGTGAGAATATTGGCAAGACTGGGCGCAGGGAGGGGGTACTGCAGGGCTGTGCCGCTGTCGCAGTGGAGGATTGAGAGGGCCTTGAGGGCGTGCAAGCAGAAGAGCAAGCACTCACCTCAGCAAGTAAATGGAGGGAGTCGACCTCAAAATACACCTCACTGCACGCGGATTGAGAGGGCCTTGAGGGCCTTGAGGGCCTTGAGGGCGTGCAAGCAGAAGAGCAAGCAGAAGAGCAAGCACTCACCTCAGCACGTAAATGCAGGGAGTCGATAGTCCTTCCCACACGCACGTCGAAGCGGGGCGGAGCAAGAGAGTCATCTGCCCCATGGGCAACAGTAAGCAGCACGTGGGTGACATGGCAGGGCAGCGCCACACACACATGCACCTCCACCAGCGGCACCCACCCCGGTACCACCCACACCATCCCCTTACCGCCCGCACCAGCACCACCGGCACCAGCACCGGCGGGAGCACCGGCACCATACGAACTGATCAGCGCGTCGGTCCGGTACAGGCTCGGGAACAGGCTCGGGACCGGCCGGAGGACATGCGCGTGCCCCGAGCCTCCTCCGGCGGAGGACGGCAGGGAGACGGTTAGCAGCGGGCGGTCGGGCAGCGCAAAGGAGAAATACTTGTGCCGTCGCAGCCCGAGAAAAACCTCGAGCTGTCTCTGCCTGGTAGCATCCCAAACCAGATTCAAAAACCTCCTTTGGAGGGAAATTCCAATATTCGTCGCGCTGGCAGCAGCACCCTTCTTAGCCTTGCTAGGATCGCTGCTGAAAATGTGGATGATGTGGGAGTGCATGGCCCGAGAGCCGGTGTAAAGCGTGGCGTGCACGTCGCCGGCTATAGAGAAGAGGTCTGCAACGGCTGTGACGGCGGATGGGAGGACGGTGGCTTGGAACTCCCTCACGCTCATGTCGAGAGAGGCCCAGGCGGGAGAGAGTCGAGGGAAGCGGCGGGTGCTGAATCTGCTGCTGCTGCTGCGAATTGGGAAAGGAGGAAGTGGGGAAGGTGGCGGCGCGAGGAGGGGGCGGGCAAGGGTGGGTCCAGGTGGTTTTGCGGGTGTTGTGGTCGATGTAGAACACCTTGCTGCGGGACGGGTCTCTTCGCATCTCCCACCCGGGAGGCAGCGCGGCTGCTAATGCATCCTCCTCCTCCTCCTGTGTTGGCACAGCCACCTGTGTACCACCTCCACTCCATCCTCCTGCCCCTCCTCCTGTTCCCCCTCCCCCATCCCCTCCCCCAAACGCTGCGCTGTAATACTGGGAGAACTCGCTCCCAAAGCCTCCAGCTGCTGCTCCTCCTGTGCTTCTGCCTGACATGCTACCTCCTGCTCCTCCGCCGCCGCCTCTTGCCCATGCGGCATCCAGAGATATTCCCAGGTGCTGGCACTGTTGCACAAACACCTGATGGGGCGATACGGGAAGGGGAGGCACAGACCAGGGTTCTTCTGAGTCGACTCAAAACGCGGTGTCTTGCGAGTCAAAAGGTATGTACGTCGACTCTAAAGACACTATGTTTCTACCTTTGAGAATTCTCACACGTGTGTGCCCATCCGCCCCACCTGCAGGGATCCAAAGAGTCGGCACACTTGAATCACACCACCTCAAACATCCCTCACCCACTGCGTGATCACCCACTGCCTGATCACCCACTGCCTGATCACCCACTGCCTGATCACCCACTGCCTGATCACCCACTGCCTGATCACCCACTGCCTGATCACCCACTGCCTTATCACCCACTGCCTGATCACCCACTCCCCTCTCCTCTCCCCCTCTCTCACCTGCAGCGCGCCAAAGAAGCTGGCAACGTTGGTGCGGTCGAGGGAATCAGCGCAGTTGAATTGCACCATGCCATGCTGTCGCCTCACCACCTCAAATTTGTCCCTTGAAGCACATGCTCTACTCTGCCTGTCCCACCTGCACGGCCCCAAAACCTTTTCAAGCTGCCTCACCTGCAGGGCACCGAAGAAACTAGCAGCGTTGGTGCGGTCGAGGGAATCAGCGCAGTTGAATCGCACCATGCCATGCTGTCGCCTCACCACCTCAAATTTGTCCCTTGAAGCACATGCTCTACTCTGCCGGCCCTACCTGCACGGCCCCAAAACCTTTTCAAGCTGCCTCACCTGCAGGGCGCCAAAGAAGCTGGCAGCGTTGGTGCGATCCAAAGAGTCAGCACAATTGAACCGCACCATGCCTTGCTGCCGCCTTACCACCTCAAACACCCCCCCCTGCAACCCCAAGTTCTTTATCACCTGCTGTTCGCCCACTTCCCCTTCCTCTCCCCCTCCTGCATTCCCACCCGCCCCTCCCCCACCTGCAGCCCCTCTTCCACCGAACGTCCCCCCTCCACCTGCCACTCCTCCTGATCCAGTTGCCACCTCCCCCGGGTGCCACCTCCCCAGGGTGAACCCAATCCCCTGCAGAGACACCTTGAGCCGCTGCCACAGCCCCTCGACATTTGCCGCCTCCCCCACCGCCCTGGTCATCGCGTGCCAGTCGTACGTGAATAAGTCGAGCGACGCCGCCCGCAGCTCCGGGCGGCAGCGCACGGAGCGGACGGCCTGCTGGAAGTGGTCGGAGAGAAGAAGCTCGGGTTTGCCGACCCCGATGTGGAGCAGGTTCACGCACACTATGGGGAACTTTCGGGGCGGCGGGAGGGCGGCGAGAGAGGAGGGATGAGAGGAGGATTGAGAGATGGAGCGAGAGGAGTGAGAGGAGTAAGGGGAGGAGGAGTCAGAGGAGAGAGAGGAGGGGGAGTAGCGACGTAGCAGGCGGGCAAAGTACGGAGCAATCCCTTGTGCCTGAGTCTCTGCTACGAATATCTCTGCATCCTGGATAGACGACTTGATCTCCGCCCCCCACCATATGGGCACCGTCCCCCGCCGCCAGATAAACGTTGAATACTCCACTGGAGGTCCCGGCTGTCCTGGTGCTGGGGATGGGGATGGTGATGGGGATTGATAGGAGGAGGGGTAGGAGGAGAGGGAGGAGAGCGAGGAGGAGGGGGAGATAGAGGGAGAGGAGCCTGAGGAGAAACCTGGAGATGAAGAGGAGAGGGTTCCAGGTGGAGGAGGCACCCAGACGATCTGTTCGCATTCCACCTCGTTTCCTGTGCCAGCAGCTGCGTTGATTCCGCGCGCCAGGTACCGCGTCCCTGGATGCAGCCTGCTCCGCCGCGCCAGGGACACCACGTGCGCCAGGCGCGCGTTCGCGTCGGAGAACGCGCGCAGCTCCGCAAACCCCTGGAGAAGTACCGCGCAGCCCCCCCCGTGCGCGCGAAGCCCCCCCAGCGCGCGGAAGGGCGCGGAGAGGAACTCGTTCCACGCGAATTCCCAATCCGGGTCCCATGGCGCGTGGGTGCTGGGAAATGGACGCGTTATGTCTCTAGTCTCGCAGAAATAGTGCAAATCGGCGATTGACACGTCAGCTAGGTCCTGCACGGCTTTGGATTCGGATTTGGTTAGGGATGCGGCTCCGGAGGGGGATTTTAGCGGGATTTTCACCCATTGGGATTCGGTAACGGTGTAGATTGTATCGGGGCCGGACGGGAGGGAACGGACGGTGGCGCGCACGCGCGTCGCGACGAGGAGCAATCCGACGGTGTTGAAGGCCGCGTAGCCGATGAGCGCGCGGCCGTGCACGGCGGATCGGACGGCCACGGTGTTGCCACGTGTCGCGGCGAAGAGCGCGTCGGATTCGGTGCGGAAAATGTCGAGGCCGGGACGGTTGGCGAAGCGGAGAGCGCCGGTGACTGGATCGACGGAGATTAATTGCGTATTGGGGAGTGTGGAGAGGGAAAGCAGGAGGACAAACTCGCCGGATTCGAGCTCGATCACATTCGCTCGAGTCTCGCGAAACGGCGTCGCTGCCATGACGAGGTTGGCAGGGGGAAGGAGGCAGGGGGGAAAGGGGGAGGGGGGAGGGGGGAGGGGGGAATAAGGGAGTTGCAGGCCAAGCTGGCCTCGAAGGCCGGCCTCGAGCTCAATTACCTCCGCGCGAGTCTCGCGAAACGGTGTTGCCGCCAAGAAGATGGTGGCAGGGAGAGGAGCGGAAGGGGGAAAGGAGGAGGGGGAAAGGGGAGGGGGGAAACGGGAGGGGGGAATCCTCGAGAAATGATACAGAAGTGTGACTGCGCCGTGGAAGGAACAGTCCAACAGTGTTTAAATAACAGTTCTTGATTAAACCACGGAAAGAGCGGAATGCGATTCAAGCTATACCTTTACTAAAGCCATTCAACTAGTCTTACATGTCCGTGTCGTCATATCGTAGATGATTTCTTGGTAGATGCCGTAAAGGCTTCTTGTGTAAGACGGTTATGCTGCAAGAGTCCCGAAAACAGCAAAATCTGGCTTTGAAAAGCTGACGCTTCCCTTCTCCCTCATTCAATCGATAGCGTCCAGAAACTTCCGAATCTCGCGCGTTCCGACGTAAACTCTACACTCTAATGCCTTCACCAAAAAACAATTTGATTCTCACTCTACACCTCCTCACACATCCTCCCACTGATGACTAAACTGAATTCTCAAACATAGCGACGAAGCATCTCGCTGCTGATTATTCCGTAACGAGTCGCGTCCAAACTCGACGTTCTCTAGGTAAGGATGGAGCCAGTAGCCCGAGACAGAGCTACGGATTCGACTCCATTCTTCCTAAGCTTTCTAGAACCTGAGCTATTGAATGTCAACTAGACTGAGCTTGCTGACCGTTGAATCGGGCTTTTGAATAATTGATGAATCAGCAATGTACTCGACATTGCACCTCACTCGGCTGTAATTCAGTAAGAACACAAGCGTCACCTTATCCAATACAGTGAACTGTCAAAAGACAGTCGTATGATGGAACTGTACATGTTTGCTCAAACTGAGAAGGCTTCGTGAGTTCGTCTTTCAGAACCTAACCTTCAGAACCTAACCGACCTGTCGTCAGTATCGAATGCTAATGGAAACGAGTACAAACGGAAACTAATTTTCCTTCCCTGAATCAAAATCTCTTCCCATCCAATCTCAGTGGCTCAATTAGGTTACGACTCGGGAGGAGCCTACTGAACTACCTATTGAACCTCTGACCTGTTCTAAAACTGGGTGTGGCGACTCGTAAGTCGTGCTATAGGAATTTATTGCTTTTCGGTGTCAGTCCTAAAATTTGCGATCCGTGAGTTACACAGTTACCACATCCTAGGGTAGACTCGCCAGGAGCAGCCCTTCGAGTCGCCTCCAAATCTTCTGTTTCCACCTCCGCCACAGTCCCCCATGGCGCCAGTGGCGCCGCGAGCAGCGCCGCATAACCCGCCGCAGTCGGCGCCGCAGCGCGCGCTGCAGCTGGACCAGCAGTCGACGATGGATCTAACCCTAACGGTCCTGCAGCGCATGGATCCCGCTGTCGCGGAGATCCTGCTGACGGTCGGCCACGTCACTGTGTACGAGTTTGACGTGGCAGCCTCCTCTTGGGTGCGTACGTGGCTTAGAGCGCGCCTGCCTTGCTGTTGTTCTGTTGCTAGAGCCTTGGCCACTGTAAAGTTGCGCCGTTGCAGTGCCGTGGTGATCATTTAATGTGTCCTCCCATCCATCCAGTCCTTTCTGCTCCTTTGCTCCTTGTGGCATGACTGACGCTGTGCATCCACTTGTTATTATGCATCCCATTCATCCCATCCCATCCCATCCCATCCCATCACATCCCATCCCACGTCTTATCTTGTACCAATACTTGCAGACTCGAAAGGACGTGGAAGGGTCACTATTTGTCGTCAAACGGTGAGGAAACTCGAACATCTGGCAGACTGAACTGAGGGAACCATCTCCCATCCCATCCCACCTCTTACTGAATTGTTTGTCAAATGGAAACCTAGGCCCTTAGCAGCAGCAGGAGTACTTTGAGGCGGGATGGGCCTAGGGTTCCTTTTGTTTGAGAAGAGCTCTTTCGCGCCTCAAAGATCTCCTGCTGCCTTGAGAGGAATTGAGGTCCTCTGGAGCGCCTTGAGATGAACATTTGCAAGATCGACATTTGTTTGAATGTTGGTTCCAGAAATTTATTGCGAATTTATTTTTCTTCTCAACTGTAGAGCTGAGTAAGGCGTGGAAGCTTTTCGGCCTTTCACGTTCACCTTCTTCGTTCCATTTGTTCACATAAGTTTTGCACACTAAATGTCATGCACACATTGGTCGGTGTGTGTGTGTGTGTGCTCCTTGGTGATCGTTCCTCCTGCGCCAAAATCCCCTTTCCTGGTGGTGTGTTTGACTGTGTGCTTGCATTTGTGTTGTCTGTTGTGCAATGGTTGGTGTGTGTGTGTGTCTGCATGTGGGGTTGTGTGTGCACATGCATGGTTGCATTGCTTGCATGTTGAACCATACATCTGGACATACATACATATACGTGTGCGTGCATGCATCTGGACATACATACATATACGTGTACGTTGGTGCATGCATGCATCTTGCAGAAAGGAGCAGCCTCGATTTCAGTTCATAGTCATGAATCGCAGAGCTCCAGGTATGTATCATGCGTGTATACATGTGTACACGTACATTCATTCATGTCTACACGTACATTCATTCATGTCTACACGTACATTCATTCATGTCTACACGTACATTCATTCATGTCTACACGTACATTCATTCATGTCTACACGTACATTCATTCATGTCTACACGTACATTCATTCATGTCTACACGTACATTCATTCATGTCTACACGTACATTCATTCATGTCTACACGTACATTCATTCATGTCTACACGTACATTCATTCATGTCTACACGTACATTCATTCATGTCTACACGTACATTCATTCATGTCTACACGTACATTCATTCATGTCTACACGTACATTCATTCATGTCTACACGTACATTCATTCATGTCTACACGTACATTCATTCATGTCTACACGTACATTCATTCATGTCTACACGTACATTCATTCATGTCTACACGTACATTCATTCATGTCTACACGTACATTCATTCATGTCTACACGTACATTCATTCATGGATACATCGTTTCATGTATGTTTGTGTGCGCTTGGAGTGTTTCTTCCACTACCACCATTGCACACACGTGGTGTGAGGGTCTGGTGGTCGCGGAAACGTACTTGCAGTGTTTCTTCCACTACCACCATTGCACACAGCAGCATCAGCTGCAGCAGCTGCGAGGGCGGGGTAGACAGGCACACACTGTCTTGTCTACCCCGCCCTCGCTCCTCGCCCTTCCCCCAGACAACCTGATTGAGGATCTTCTTGGGGATCTAGAGAGCACGAGGTGCAGTGCAGCCACCCTACACCTTGCAGTGCAGCCACCCTACACCTTGCAGTGCAGCCACCCTACACCTTGCACCACAACAGAGGGCAGGAGGTGAACTGAACAGCACTTTTCCAATGGTAACATGGGAACACCCCGCGTTGCCCCTGCGTTCCCCCAGACAACCTGATAGAGGACCTCCTAGGCGACCTAGAGTACGAGGTGCAGCCACCCGTTATGCATCCTGTACCGCAACAGAGGGCACGAGGTGAACGGCACTCTCCCAGTACCCCCCATATCCCGCTGTCTCTATCCCCACTCGGCTCCACACTCCCTTCCCTTCCCATCCCCCAGACAACCTGATAGAAGACCTTCTAGGGGACCTAGAGCACGAGGTGCAGCCGCCCTACATTCTGTATCGCAACAGAGGGCAGGAGGTCAACAGCACTCACCATCCCAGCATCACTAACTACCCTCACTACCCTCCCTTCCCCACCCTGCTTTGCCCATCCCTCAGACAACCTGATAGAAGACCTTCTAGGGGACTTCGAGTACGAGGTGCAGCCGCCATACATCCTGTACCGCAACAGAGGGCAGGAGGTGAACGGCATTTGGTTCTACTCCTTGAAAGAGTGCCACGATGCTGCCAACCTCTTCTCCAGGTTTGTTCCCCTCAGCTCGCAAACACCTGGGGGGGAACACAACCAGTCATTCATCCGTGGGTGGTGGGGGGGGAAGGGGGGGCAGGAGGTGAACGGCATTTGGTTTTACTCCTTGAAAGAGTGCCACGATGCTGCCAATCTCTTCTCCAGGTTTGATTACTTCAACCCGAAACTCTGCCTGTGATCAACTTTCTCGAACTCTAAACCCCTTTTTTGTGTTTTTGTTTTTGTTTCCTTATCCAAAATTTTCACCTGTTAGTTATTCACCTAACCCCAATCGACTTGACTTGTTATTACTGTTCTAAATTCGAAATCTCAAACCCATAACTAAAACACCCGGGTCCTGAATCTTCCATTTTCAATTCCCCAAGTCTTTTCTTCTTTCCTTCTCTGCGCAGGATTCTCAACACATTTTCACGCCACGCACATCCAACCAAGCCGCTCATACCATCTAATAGGTATGCTCGTTTCTTCCACTCAGGCTGGCTGAGTGTAAATATGTACTCTCCTGTTCCCCGCCGCTTCCACCCACGAGCCTCGCACTGCATGATAGTTTTGTCTTTTATTGAGCGCGTCCCTTTTCCCTTTCTCTTTCCTCATTCCCGGTCCCTCCCTGATCCTCTTCCTCTTTCCTCTTCCCCATCAGCCCCGAGTATTCAGAGCTGGAAGCTGTTCCCTCAGCAGCCATGGTGGGTGGACGGCCCTTTGGAGGAGCCCTCCCCATCACACCTCACGCTTTTGCTCTTCTCTCTTTCTTTCAACTCTTATTTCCTCTCTCCCCATCCTTCCAGCCCCGAGTATTCAGAGCTGGAAGCCATGCCCTCAGCAGCCATGGCGGACGGCCCTTTTGAACCCTCCCCACCAGAGGCAGGCCAGCCCAGCAGCCACGTTCCACAGCATCCCACCACGGCCCCAAACTCACTTCTCTTTCTTTGTTTCTCCTTTCCCCGATCCCCATCAGCCCCGAGTATTCAGAGCTGGAAGCTGTGCCCTCAGAAGCCATGGTGGACGGCCCTTTGGAGCCCACCACACCACAGGACCACCAACCCAGCAGCCACGTTCCACAGCATAACGTCTTGCTTGCTGACACTAGCACACCTCTGGAAATCCACCATTCCTCGGCCTCGCTCCCTTCCTCGCTCCCTCCCTTCGCCTCGCTCCCTCCCGCCGCATCTCTACCTCTTCCTCCTCCCTCTTCACACCCCCCCGCTTTCCACGACGCTCGTTCTTCCTCTGCCCCTGTGCCCCCCTCTCTCCTCTCCACGCTCCTCCCGTCGCTTTCCGCCGCGCCACACGAACCGCACCCAACCGCTCTGCCTACTGCTTCCGCGCCACACGAACCGCAGCCAACCCCTCTCCCGCTGCTGCAGGGCCAGCCGCAGGAGAATGGGCTACAGGGGAAGGAGGGGCAGACAGTGGAAGAAGCACAGGGGCAAGGGCAGGGGCAAGGGCAAGGGCAAGGGCAAGGGCAAGGGCAAGACGTGGTAAGAGAGCAGATTCAGGCTCTAATGGATCTCCAAGCGATGCTGCAGATCAAACCCACAGGAGCGATGCTCTCAGCAGCACCAGCAGCACCAGCGGCAGCAGCATCAGCTGTGCCGGCAGCAGCAGCAGGCACAACACGTGCTCTTCTCAAGCCCTCCTTCTTCTCCACTGCCTCTCCATCCGTCCCACAAACACCTGCCGTTTTGTCAGTCTCATCCGCCCCATCCGTCTCATCAGTGTCATCATCAGTAGTAGCAGCAACAACAACAGCAGCAGCAGCAGCAGGACCAGCAGCACTGCCAGCACCACCACTGGCAGCATTGCCTCCACCGTTCCCCCTCATATCTCCTGCCGCCCTCTCTTCGTCCTCTGTCCCCATCTTCCCTTCAGCAGCTGCCTCCCCTCGCTCTGCCTTCTCCCCTCCTGCTCCCTCCTCTGTTCCCTTCCCTCCCCTCTCCACCTCTCTTCTCTTCCCTCCTCACCCCAACTCCGCTCCCATGCCTCCTCTCCCTTCCTCTGCAACTGCATGCCACTTACTTGAAAGCGAAAGTGCAGAGACTAAGGGTCCCATGAAAATCCATGGGGAAGGAAGAGCAGCAGCAGCAGCAGCAGCAAGAGACGAGGCAGGCAATGGGGTATCAGCAACGGAAACAGGCAGAAGAGGGGAGGGGGCGGCTACGAAGGAGAGAGGGAGTGAGGGAGAGGAGGGAGGAGAGGGGGAGAGTGAGAGGATGTCAGGGAGTGAGAGTGAGCGCATGTCACGCGCACTAGCAGCCCTCCTCCAACCCTCCCACGGAGCTCCTATGCTGCAGCCCTTCCCACCACCCACCCCTCCCCTTTCCCTCGCCTCCCCCGCTCCCCCTCCTGCTCTCTCCCCCTCCATTCCTGCTCCTCCCCACTCCATTCCCGCATCGTCCCACTCCATTCCTGCATCGTCCCACTCCATTCCTGCATCGTCCCACTCCATTCCTGCTCCCATCAATCCAGCCGTTGCTGGGTCTGGGTTGGGCCTGCAAGGGGGGAGAGGAGGGGAGGGGGTGGCGGTGGTGGTGACAAGGGAAGGGCTGAAGGCTGCTCTGCTGCGATTGGTGCAGGTGGGACTGGCGCAGGTGGCAACTGGTGCAGGTAGGTATGGTAGTGTTGCTTTTGAAGATTCTGGGATGGGTGGCGGTGGTGGTGACAATGGAAGGGCTGACAGCTTCTCTGCTGCAATTGGTGCGTGTGGGGAACTGGTGGAGGTGGGAACTGGTGCAGGTGGGAACTGGTGCAGGTGAAGGGTGGTGCACATGTCACTGTATGTGGGAACTTTGCAACCCTCGCATGATTTATTTTACCCCTCCCTCCCGCCTCCCTCCTCTCCCTCCCTCCCGCCCGCCTCTTCAGAACGACAGTTTCATCGACATGCTCTTTCAAGACCTAGCTCACTCACACCCAACCTCACAATGACACCCGCGTTAGCACTTTCATATGCTGAGTTGTGAACTTTCTGTGTAGGTGTAGTAGCAGTTCAAATCATGTATTTTCACATTACATTGGTACTGTTGGAAACATATAGTTTGCGCTTCTGATGTGTCGAGCACTACAACAAAAGCGAAGCAAACTGAAGCAAAGCAACAGCGAGTCAACCAAAGCGGTTGACAGAAAGACAACAACAAAAGGTTGAGTGAAGGTCAAAGGTCAGCGACCTTGACTCGCCGAAAAGCAGCGCGACAGCAAGGACACATAACTGACTCACTATTGAGCAGTTACCCGAGTCGTCGCTGTATCGAACCGCAACAGCAGTTACAGCTGGTGAACCCCTTCATATTCCTTCGTAATCATATAAAGCTTTGTATCTCTTTGCTATTATCAACCTATTCTCACATACCAGTGCAAGGTGGTTCAATTGGTTCACTATTACGCTTCCGCTAATGCATCACTACTCAGAGACTTTAGTCTTGAAAACGATCCTAAGGGCTTTTCTCAGCCCAACATGGTATGAGAGCTAGCAAGACAAAAGACAACCCTGTTCAAGCTCCTACAACAACAGAATGCATGGCTACGCAGAAAGAGAGAAGCTCGTCTACTGGATCTCCCGGCAACACTCCTACTCCACCACCAGCCTCGGACTACAGACAAAGAGAGGCACAACCCAAGGACCAGCTGCTGAGTCCACTGAAGCTCCCGCTAATCAAGCAACCGGCTTCGACCCAAGCATGATGGAGAAGTTCTTCTCCTTCATGTCGTTCTACGAGCAACATCAACAAGCAGCACCTGCGCAGTCAAACAACAGCGACAACAACAACGGAGTCACTCCCATGAGCCTTAACGGTTCATATTTTGCGCGTGGAAATCAGCAGCCTACCTTCGCACCGTACGAGCCTCAATGTGGCTCAGTCAGCTTCATGCCGAATCGGCTCCCACCTGGACAAGAAACAAAGACTCTGGACGCACTTCAACTGCAGTCACAGTTTGCACACATCCTGAAACTCCAAACAACAACACCATTCGACGGCAAGAATTTCTATACCTGGTCCTTTGAGTTCGAGCTGATGATGGAAGGCGCTCAAATCCTTGGCTTCTTCGACGGTTCCCTGCCATATCCAACGCACGGGACGCAGTATGACAAACAGCAGTACACGTATTAGTCACTAATGGCATACACCATACTCATGCGAAACATAACGCCAAACGAGCAGTATAACATCCAGTCTTATCGCGGATACGGTAACTCCGCCGAGCTCGCGTACAACCACCTGAAGAAACTATATCAAGCAACCGACAGCGTTAATCAAAGTCATCTCATGGCGCAATTAACTATGGTCCAAATGCAACCCGGCGAAATGGGAATGGCATATATCAGTCGTTGTCGCGGTCTGCGCGATAGACTCCTTCGATGCGGCGGATCAATATCCGAAGAAGCGTTTGTCACTGACGTTATCACAGGTCTCGGTCCTCAGTGGCGCTCCACTCGAGCCATTCTCGGAGCCCACGGAAGAATCTCCGAAGCAAATCTCTGCGCCGAAATTCACGCCGAGAAACAAGATATGGACCTGCACGAAGAACGACACAAGAAAAGGGCATCAGCACCATAGTTCGTCTTTCACACTCAACGGCGCTACAACAACAACAACCGTCAAAACAAGCATCACGGACGAAGACACATACCGCCATTTTGTCACCTCTGCTGAACGTCCGGCCACTCTCGTATTCACTGCCCGAATCAGCAGCAATCGACACCACCACCACGTCAGCTTCGACTGTCAAGTAGTCAAGTAACTTCCACACAGCAGCATCTTTCCAACCAGACGGCGCCTTCAACGACAACATCACAATTTGCACGAGGAACAAGAAACATCATAAGCTGCATGACAAGAACGGACTCCTGCATCACTGGTTCACTACCGACCTACTCACCAGAAGAACCGCTCGACGAAAGCACGCCTCGTCGCAAATTGCTAGAACCAAATCCGACGTATGCAACCATCGTACAGAGCGAACCGTCCGGTCAAGATACTTGGTTCTTGGACAGCTGCTGCGGACAACACATGTGCTCGTCAAATCGCTTCGTTCAACGGGAACAACACCTCAGCCGGGAAGTCGTGATCACCGTCGCCAACAACCAGATACCGCGCACACGACGACAAGGAGTATTTCAACTTCAGTCCCGCGAGACTAACGTCGTTTTACAGATGTTAAAGGTTTTGATTGCAGAAGGACTGGGCTACAACTTACTCATCGTCAGCTAGCTCATGGCAAAAGGGATTCACCTTGAAGCCGATAGCACCACTCAGGAGTTCAAGCTGTACAACGAGAAGGGAGGACTTTACATCAGCAAAGCGGTCCTGAAGAACAACGTCTTCGTTCTTGGTTTTGTTCCAGATCAAGGAACAGCTGACAGCGACGCGATCGTCAATTTCACTACCTGGTCGCACCCACCAGATCTCGACCCGGACTTCAGCCCCGGTGGTTTTTGGTACTCGCACACCATACCTGAAGCAGAACGGACAAGGGCGTTAGCAGTGATTCAACAGACAACAGCAGCAGCATCAACATCGGCAGCAGCAGAGACAACAGCAGCAGCAGCAGCGACACCGACAGAAGCAGAAGCAACAACAACAGCACCAGCACCAATCGCCAGCTCTTTATCAGCACCAACTCCCATCACCAACACCACACCGACTCCCACTCAACAGATGACTCCCGCCCCACACGAAGTTCACAGAAGCACCAACATCGCGAGTTTTTACTCCAACTCCGATCTGTACAGACGTTCACCTGGACATCGCGCCGACGAATCATTATGGCATCAAAGGTTAGGGCATCCCAGCAACACAACACTGAACAACACGATAAGAGCAGGAGTGCTCGATAAAGACACACTACTAAAAACCCGACGGCAGAGAACTTCAACGAGTCCACGGAACTTGCTTTACCTGCCCTGAAGCCAACTTACCCCATCAACTGTTCGTCTCTCACCACAACCCAAGCGCGCCAGCATACGCACCACTAGAGAAGGTCTACAGCGACATACAGTACACCCGCAAAAGCGGACAAGGAGCATACAACTACGTAATCACTTTCATCGACGCCGCCACCAGATACGTCTGGCATCTCAACCTTCCGAGTCGCGACATGGCCTTCGAAACATTCATCGCTTGGCTCCCAGTAGCAGAAAGAGAATCAAAAGTGAAGCTAAAAAGCTTTTAGTCAGACGGAGGAGGAGAATATCAGTCACAGCGGTTCAAGCAATACTTGGCGGAGAGAGGCATCAAGCGACTTATTTCTCTTCCCTACGCTCATCAACAGCAATGCGTGGCAGAAAGAATGAACAGGACCCTCCAGAACACCATGCACAAGCTGCTACGTGGCATGCGGCTACCCAACCATCAGTGGCCTGAGGCGATGGACCACGCTGTGCTGTTGCACAACTTGCTTTCGTCATCCTCGCTTCCGAACAACGCATCACCGCATCTGCTGTGGACACGAAAATTGGGCAACACAAAAATGTTTCGAGTTTTTTGCTGCATGGTACAGTACTGACCACACACTGCACGAGCTGGACGATTCTCACAACGCGCACAGTGGGGACTACACCTGGGCATCGAAAAACACTACAACGCGTGGAAAATCTTCGACGTCCACTCGAAGGAAACAGTAGCAGCACGTGACGTGATTTTCTACGAGCAACTTACTCTCCAAACGTACCTGGACAACTTGGCGGCAGAACGAGACCTCACGGGCGGCTTCCGTGGCAACCGAGCCTTCGCCACACCAACAGATGAGGCTGACTGGGATGAGAAAAACGTGGACGGAGCATCCGAGGAAGCCGAAGCTCTTCCCTACTGCTCGGTACCTGTTCCGATGGACGACGAAAATCCTTGCGAAAGCATCAACGCCAAAGTCTACTACGACTTCGCCGACAATGGTTATGTTACACCACACCCGGTCAACACTAACGTTTCAGAACACTTAGGCCCCAACTTCTTACCTGATCCAGAAGCGGGAGACGAAGCAGTTTATCATGAGGACCCAAATCTCCCTCGCTATACACAGACTGGGCTGCAGATTCTTAGGCTCATCACCGCAGTCCATGGCACACCAATGCCGCAAGAGCCTGCTACGGTTCAGCATGCTCTGGGGGGGGAGCACAGGGAAAAATGGCGTGAAGCCATGGACAGGGAATTAAAGGCGCTGGAAGATAGAAACACCAGGAAGATAGCACCCATCGGACTGGCACGCAACAAAACCATTCTCACAGGAAAATGGGTCTTCCGCGTGAAGACGAAAGCCGACGGAACAATTGATAAATTCAAGGCACGATGGGTCGTGCGTGGCTTCGACCAAGAACACAGACGAGACTTCACCGAAACCTTTGCGCTTGTCAGCCGACATACCTCTTTGCGAATCCTCCTCGTGATAGCCTCCATGAAGTGGAAGAAGCTTCGCCAAATCGACGTGGCTAACGCATTTCTCTACACTCACGTCGACGCCGAAATCTTCGGCGAGAAACCACACGGATCCGACACAGACCCTCATCAAGTCTGTCAACTGGTGAAATCCTTATATGGCATCAAGCAAGCTCCGCGGCTGTGGCAGCAGTACCTACACGCTCGACTAATCCGCATCAGCTTTCAGCAACTACCACACGACTAGGGCATATACAGTCTCACAAAGGAAGTTGAGTACATTGTGCTCATCGTGTATGTAGACGAACTACTCTATATAGGCTCCACCGACGGCATCACCAACTGGTTTGAAGGGGAGCTGCAACAGGATCTCTCACTCACGGTTTCCTCTACCGTGACCCAGTACCTTGGACTCAACATTCTAGATGGAGAGAACGCGATCTACCTCAGCGCTGCAAAATACGCCGACACCATCGCAAAACGCTTCGGTCTGACGGCGGCCTCCATTTCTACGCCCTACCGCTACACCGTG